ACAAAATTTGGTCGAGATATGGGATAATTTGTCCCTAAAAGTACATAATTTCTCTTCAAAATTTCTTAATCAGTCGATAGTTAATCAGTCGTTTAAAAAACATCAAGGGCCTATGGTGTATAAAACCTGATTTAAAACTTCACTGATGATGTTAGCAAATATTTCTTGAATAAGTTTCAATAAAAAGTAGAATAATCTATTTTTCTGATCTTTCCCTTTACCTTCCCCTAAAAATTCAAGAAAGGGGGCGTGGCACATAACACTTCAGTTGTTGAACCTGTTGCTAGGGTCAAATAGAAAATGTGTATCATTATAGCAAAAAGTGTTATTCTAAATATATCTTAACACTATATGTGACATCATGATATGCTAAACATATTCATTATCTACCATTTTGTATTTTTACAGCTTATCATTGCCATACCCCATAAAACCGTTTAAGGGTATGTATGGTCAGCAATAGGAAATACATGTATGTGTACTTATAACATTTTTCAAAATTGTATTTCAGATGCCATTCTATCCTAATGTTTTTCATGTAGTTATGGTATGTTAAGAATGAATTATGATGATAATATGTTATATTACACTCCCCATCATAAGTTTTGTAACTGGAAGTCCCCCTTTGAATCACTTATTAAAGCTTGTCATGCTGTTTGGCAATTTTAAACAAGACATCAAGCTTTTGGAATAAAGCAATAAGGGACAAAATCAAGGTTCAAACATTGACAGACCTTAATATGTAATCATATGAAAACTTGCAGTTGCCAACCTTATGGAGGGGGTGTATAAGTATTATATGTGTCATAAATTGTTTAGTTGTAGAAACCTGAAGTCAAAGGAAATAATAGTGCTTTACATTCTCTCAAAGACAGTGATCAATTCCGTGGCACTGGGTTTGTTGACATTACTTATATGATATAAAACATTACGCGAGTTTGGTCTTAAGGCCAACATATTCCAATGGTGCAGAATCCCAGTCGCCCCATCAAGTTCCACCATGCCATATCGAGTCCCACAATGTCCCAAGAGACCTTGTTAACTTTGCCCCATGGAGTCTCATCGAGTCCCTCCATATCCCACAAAGTCCCACGGAAATGATGTAATTTAGTTTAGAAGGTAATGTTAAGGTCATTTTGATTTCAAGTTAGCTGACACATCCCATGATCAAAAGTCCCGCGATGCCCAATGGAAAGAATGAATAGGTTCATTCTCAGTGGGACTTCGCCAAATGATACCCCATCGAATCTCATGGGACTCAATGGGGCTTCATGGGGTAAATCCCAAGGAATCCCAAGTTGTTCCATCGGGCAAAGCTCAATGAAGTCCAACGAATTTCCACGAGGTCCCACCCAATGTTAAATCAATGGAGGTCCCACCATGCTGTATTGGTGTATGTTAGGCTTTAGCGAAGTAACTTCCTTTGTTACATTCATCAAATCGTTAAAAAGGAAAAGTTGTCAAAACTTTGTAAGAGCGTGATTATTTGGACCGATTTCACTTGTCTGCTAAGGATATTTTAGTTTTACACAAACTGAGCGGGCCAGTGCCATTCATAATATCTTCAAATAGCATTCAATTCATGACCACATTTTACTCCAGAATCCATAGGATCTTCGGGGATGAGCCATTCCATGGTCATTTGGTCTTAGATTGAATAGGTTTGTTATGAAGGGGTTTCAATGATAACATACTGTATGGTCTTGGAAAAACAGATTCCAAAAGTCAATGGGAGTGACAAAATGTAAGTAAGCTTAATAACTGAGTATGTCATATTCCGCAATGAATATGGCATATTCACTTGGTGGTGTATGACAGATTCACCTGCGGTAAATGGCATACACACTAACCAGTGAGAATGTGATATGGAAGTACGCAATTGTCAATTGCTTAGATTGAAGGAGCAAGTTAAACATTATAAATTATTATAATGATTACTGAATCAACAGCACTGTGTATCAAATATATTAACTTAACAGAAGTATCAGTCGCCAATCTTGTGCAATAAACTTACTCAATCAATTCTGGATTGATACATTAGTACTAGACGCACTAACTACAGTATATTGGTAATCCAGTGTAGTTTTACATTTAGAGTCGATTTTCGCAACCAATCAAATCAAGGCTTTCTGTATCACGTTTTCACCTGCGGTATATGGCATATTCCGCAAGTGAGTATGACATATTCCGCAGGTGAGTATGGGGTATTCACTGAAATCAATGTATCGCATATTCACTGCAGAATATCGCATACTCACCTGCAGAATATGCCATATACCACAGGTGAGTATGGCATATTCACCCGTATCACAAAAACTGCGCAACCATGAATGTATGCCAACTTCCCTCAAAATAGGGCTAGAAGCTTAAAATAAAAAGCATTTTAAAACTCTTGTTCTATCTCATGGTTATATTTTTATTGGTTATGGGGGGGGGTGCGATCCCATTGCACCCCCTGGCTAAGCCTATGGACAAGATGTATTATTTTGACATAAACAAAACATACACATCTTGTTATGTTCTACAGACTACAACTAAACAATTTATGACATATATACAATACGAAGTGTGCAAACTGCAACCAGGCTCTGAGAAACTCTGGCTCTTAAAGGAATATTCCTTGCCAGGCCCTTTCTCTCTTGATATGGTAGCTATAATCATATATATAGTTTCCATATTTATCAAAACATGGGAAAATGTTTTAATATGGTCAATATTGATCATTTAAAAATCTAGTGCTTATTTCCAGTGAGCTGCCATCTTTTAAGATTTCTTGCAGGAAGTGATGTCATCAACTCTCAACTTCTATAACCTTGCCCATAACAGTATAGGAAAGTAGCACAAAATCACTTCTAGACAAGTGATCATTACTTTCTGTGCAAAAATATTTTCAGGGCTTGTCAACTTAGAATAAAAGATGAGATTTTCAGAAGGATTAAATATGATACAAAGTTGAAAAAGAATATTTAGCTGGTTTTGTAATTCTTAATAGCTCCTCACCTAATGCTATATGCAAAGTTGAGAGTCGATGACATCACTTCCTGTGTGAAATTTTAAAAGATGGCAGCTTACTGGAATTGAGCATCACATTTCTAAGTGATCAAATTTGACCATATCAAAACATTTTTGCGTGTTTTGCTAAACATGGCAAGCATATATATGGTTATAGCTACCATATGAGGAGAGAGATGGTTTGGCAAGGAATATTCCTTTAATCATTTGGTGTTACAATTTGTTATTATATAGCTAATTATTTGCAGCAACAATAGGTGTCTTGTTGCAGTTTACATGGACCCTATACTATAAAGCATGTACACCCCCTCCATAAGTTTGGCAACTGAAAGTTATTATATGATAGCATATCAAAGTCTGTCAATGTTTAAACCTTGATTATGTTCCTTATTACCATATTTCGGATATTTCTATTTCATATGCCAAAAATAAACAGGCTTTAATAAGTGATTCAAAGGGGTTTGAGTTGCCAAACTTATGATGGGAAGTGCTATCATTCATAAACATAAACTATAACTACATGGACAACATTAGGAAAGAATGGCACCCGAAATACAGTTTTGAAAAATGTTATGAGTACACATACATGTATTTCCAATTGCTGACCACACATACCCTAATAATGGTTTTATGGTTTATGGCAATGATAAGCTTTAAAAAATATAAAATGATAGATAATGAATATGTTTAGCATATTATGATGTCACAAATAGTGTTAAGATTTATTTAGAATAACACTTTTTGCTATAATGATACATATTTTCTATTTGACCCTAGCAAAAAGTTCAACAACTGAATTTTTAGGGGAAGGTAAAGAGAAAAATCGGAAAAAATAGATGCATGCACTTTTTATTGAAACTTATGCAAGAAATATTTGCTAACATCATCAGTGAAGTTTTTAATCAGGTTTTATACACCATAGGCCCTTACTGTTTTTTAAATGACTGATTAACTATCGACTGATTAAGACATTTTGAAGAGAAATTATGAACTTTTAGGGACAAATTATCCCATATCTCTACCAAATCTTGTTGGATAAGACCCAAACTTTCAGGAATTCTTCATACATGCCTTATTGATATACTAACAATGTTTCATTACAATTGCATCATCCTCAAATGAGATATTAAATAGTTTCAAGCATATGGTCAAACTCCGACTCGAAAATGATGAAATTTGCTGATTCAGCACTTTTGAGCCTGCTTTGTAAGGGTTCACAAACTTTTTTTACATGCCTTGGGGTCCCCTACAAGAATCTAAAGTCAAATTGAATCTAGGTGTTTTGGACACAAATCGCCTTGGCCGTAGTACTAAATGTCCTTATGACAAACTGCAAAGCATTTTCACAAATATTTTCTGAAACTGACGATAATCATAAAATGTATTATCATCACTCCATTCCCTGAAGCCATCAATTGTGAGAATTGTAACTTGATATTAGTATTAACTTTATTGACCCAACAATACGCAAGAACATGGTCTAAAGGTTGAGAGAATAATATATTGACTGACTGACCAATGAAAATTTTCCCACTCAAAGCAATGCATTGCCGGATATATATATGTTAACGACCACGTTTTCATCTATCGTGTATTAGTCTACTTAATTCAATAGTCACCATTTTTTGCAAGAAATGTAATCTTTGATACCAGTTGATGTATTTGGTTCAAATTATGTTTGCTAATTTCATAGGTACATAGGAATCTGCTCAAGGAGTAATATCCCGTATGGCTGCTGAATTTAATATGGCTGCCTAATGTTTCAACTCAAGTTACCTGTTGTCAGAGAAGAAACTACTCAAAAAGAAATTTAGAATATTGGTTGATATCACATCATGGGTGTAGATTTTGCAAAAAGGAGACATTGTATATTACTTTACTGCTCCCTGGTTATGTCCAAAATGATGAGTGATTTCATGTTTTGTTTGGTGGGATTTGCTACTCCGGGAGTAGCTTTTTTCTAGTTCTAGTATATTGTATGTGTTCAGGTGAAGCTTGAGAAAGAGGAAGAAGAGAGGAGGGAACTACAGAAGATGTTGATGGGAGGAGATGATGGCAAAGCTGCAAAGAAACGTAAGTCTGCTGGGACACCTACACCTGGTGGAAAACTGGATGAGGATGACCTCTTTGGTGTAAGTATATTAATAAGGTTTATTAGATTCTAGTGAATGTACGAGGTTTAATCACAATATTCTTATAATACCTCTCTATTTTTTATTCTTTATTTTTTTTTATAAAACTTTCTTCACAGGATATGTAAACCGTGATAATATACTGCTTTATCATAAAATATATACATTAAAATAAGAACTAAATAAAGACATGGGATACTAGTAGTCCATTGGATTGAAACGAATGTATAGGTCAAATGATCCTCTGTAGTATATTATATAAATTAGTGTTTCCATGATTAATCAAAACATTGCCATACTTATCACCAATGTGATCATTTGCAATGTAGTTTTACAAGCCCAAGCAATGAAAGAGAGTTCATATGCAATATGTTTTTATGCATACAATTTATGTACATCTTGTGTACAATGTTCTTTCTACAGGGTGGGAAGAAGCTTAAGATCACACGTGTGTTCAGAGATGACCAGGGACGTGAGTTTACAAGGACAGAGATTGTCCGGAAACCTGCAATTATTGATGTCTATGTCAGAGTAAGGCAGACTAAGGACAATAACTTCATGTAAGACAAACTTCATATTATATAGTTATATAAGGCATCTTTCTTTAACTTTTAATCAAATCTTATGTAACAACTACAACCTCATGTTTTGATTTTTTAAATTAATTTCAAGTAAATATTAATATTTTTTTCAACACAGCAAGCAGTTTGCAACATTAGATGACACACAGAAGGCTGAGCTGAAGAAGGAGCGTCGACGTATTCAGGAACAATTGCGACGTGTCAAGCGCAACCAAGAACGGGACAGACTGACACCTCCTCAAGCTAAACGCAAGAAGAAAGACAATGCTATTGTTAAGTTGAGCACATTAAAAGTATGTTGAACTCAATGTATATTGAAAAAATTAACAATATTCAAAGTATCTTTAATGATGGGAAATAAAACACTTTTATGCACTGTTATACTATTAACTGTTTTCAATGTCAGAACCTGAATTTATTTTATAAGAATTTATTGCTTTCCTTTAGTGACTAAAATATAATTAAAGTTATGACCTCGGGGTTTTGTTATTGATTTAGATTCCTTGGGAGATTCTGAACTTAAATTGTTTTAATGTCTTAAAGATACACAACTTCCTATTATTATGTATATTAATTCTAGTTGAAGTGTGGGGCATGTGGCCAGATGGGACACATGAGGACCAACAAGGAGTGCCCCCTATACAGCAAGGGAGGGGCAAATGCCCCAATACCTGTTGCTATGACAGAGGAACAGGAGGAGGAGGCCACCAACCCTGACCTGCTGGACCAGGAACTCATCAAGGTGGAGGACACCAAGATAAAACTCTCAAAGGATCTCATTCAACAGTAAGCCACACTCGAATTCTTTTTCTTATACTTTTAATTTTGTCCTTTGTTATTATATTATATCTCTTATTTGGCTAACAATTTGATGTACTGAATGATACAATTATTCTTAAAAAAGACTCCACACACAATGCAGACTGACTGCTAATTTGTATATTGCCATGTTTCAGCGCTGACTCAGTTAGAAGGAAAGCTTTAGTTTTGAAGTTCCCAAAACAAAATGTTGACATTAAAAAACGACGAAGGGCAGGCACCACTGTACATTGTGACTATCTCAAAGTAAGTTATTTTATCTTTCAATATATTTGTAACCAGATATTTTTTTAGTGAATGGTGTATTTCAGTCACAAAAGTCCCTAAAATGTACTATTGTAATTATGTTTTTATCACACCATCGGTGGGATATAGTCGTCATACTGGTCGTGATCGTGGTCGTGATCGTGATCGTGGTCGTGATCGTGATCGTGGTCGTGATCGTGATCGTCCCGCTTTTTGTCATTGCCGTTTAAGGAAAACTGCTCATCAGATTTTCTCCAAATTCGCAGAGATGATAGAGCATATGAAGTACTAGAGCTGATTAACTTTTGGGTAGCCATCTTGTTTTCTGGCGGCCATTTTGAAGGTTTTTCGAAAAATCTTGTCATCGCCATTTCAGGAAAACCGCTCATTGGATTTCCTTCAAATTTACACAAATGATAGAGGATATCAAGTACTAGAGCTGATTAACTTTTGGGCGGCCATCTTGTTCCTTCAAATTTACACACATGATAGAGGATATCAAGTACTAGAGCTGATTAACTTTTGGGCGGCCATCTTGTTTTCTTGTGGCCATTTTGAAGGTTTTTCGAAAAATCTTGTCATCGCCATTTCAGGAAAACCGCTCATCGGATTTCCTTCAAATTTACACAAATGATAGAGGATATCAAGTAGAGCTGATTAACTTTTGGGCGGCCATCTTGTTTTCTTGTTCTTGAAATTTGTAAACATAATAGGAGAACAGTTTTCCTGGTTCATAGTGTCTGCCTATTTGATGGTGTGATCTCGTTCACGTCCTGTGCCTTGTTTCAAAATCATCTACAAGTTTTCAGTTTCCAGAAGTTGAAATCTGACTTTTATGTAAGATTTGACCTTCAGTGACCTTTTCAAGGTCAAAAAGGTCTTTTTTCAACTTGCTTCAAACTGACTAATTTTTTTTCAAAATCATCTATGAGTTATCAGAAGTCTAAATCTGACTTTAGATTTGAGATTTGACCTTTATTGACCTTCTCAAGGTAAAAAAAGGTATTTTTTGACCTAAGTGACCATTTTTTTCAAAATCATGTACAAGCTGTTGAAGTTCAAATCTGACTTGAGAATTGAGATTTGACCTTCAGTGACCTTCTCAAGGTGAAAAAAGGTCAAAAAGGTATTTTTTCAACTTGCTTTAAATTGACAATTTTATTTCATTGTCATCTACAAGTTATCAGAAGTTTAAATCTGACTTTAGAATTGAGATTTGACCTTCACTGACCTTCTCAAGGTCAAAAAGGTCTTTCAACTTGCTACAAATTGATCAATTTTTTTCAAAATCTTCTAGAATTTCTGAAAAGTTCAAATCTGACTATAGATTTGACCTTCGATGATATCCCCCAGGTCAAAAAATATTCGACCTTCAATGACCTTCTCATGGTCAAAAAAGGTCTTTTTCAACTTGTTACAAATTGACTATTTTTTCCCAAATCATCTACAAGTTCTCAGAAGTTCAAATTTGACTTTAGATTTGAGATTCCACCTTCAATAACATTTTCAGGGTCAAAAAAGGTCTTTTTTCAACTTGCTTCAAATTGACCATTTTTTCAAAATCATCTACAAGTTCTCAGAAGTTCAAATCTGACTTTAGATTTGAGATTCCACCTTCAATAACCTTTTCAGGGTCAAAAAAGGTCTTTTTTCAACTTGCTTCAAATTGACCATTTTTTTCAAAATCATCTACAAGTTCTCAGAAGTTCAAATCTGACTTTAGATTTGAGATTCCACCTTCAATAACATTTTCAGGGTCAAAAAAGGTCTTTTTCAACTTGCTTCAAATTGACCATTTTTTCAAAATCATCTACAAGTTCTCAGAAGTTCAAATCTGACTTTAGATTTGAGATTCCACCTTCAATAACCTTTTCAGGGGCAAAAAAGGTCTTTTTTCAACTTGCTTCAAATTGACCATTTTTTCAAAATCATCTACAATAATATTGTGAGCAACTAGGTGGTGACATTTTGTCATGTTAATGCCTTGTTAACCATGGTACTGTTGATATAAATAATACGTTGTTATAACATACATGTACCTATGATGATGTATGGTGTAAACTGTTCACAAGACAGCGGGCCAATATAAGTTTTGAAAAGCTCGCGCCCGCTAACTTTCTGATTGGTCAAGGCGCTTGGACTACAACATGCATACTAACCAATGAACCGAAGATAAAATTGTGCGAACACAATTCAATCACCATTTATTTCATCTAACATCACTTAATCTCAAATAATTTCATGTAAATGAATAGATTAATAGTGTTTATTGATAAATTCATGCCCTTAAAGGGAATGCGAAGTTTTGTCTTCTAAACTTGATTATAAGTTAGAATACGGATACATCTTTCAATCCAACTTAGTTTTGTTGTTCTATCATTAACCCCTAAGTTATTATGGAGCCCTGGATTTTGCATGTGAACTGGACCATGGAGCTGCCATTTTAACTGTAAAGTGGTTCTTTACGACATTGTTATCACGTCATTGATGCCATAGCATTCCAAAAGATTTCTGGCGCCATTTTTGAAGAAAATGCCAACCTGTTTATATTTCGGTTGCAACAATAGACCATCTAAAGAAAATAATATAAAATTCAACAGGATTCCGGACTGAAGTAAAAATCGGGAATAAGCGGCCAGATGGCTTCATAATATTGGAACAGTAGATCGAAATGGTATGCCGTGGAATGTAAACAATTTCATTTTCAATAAATACAAAACAGTTTGCAGCGATCATTTTCGTCAGGATGATTATTCAAACAATGAACAATTTGTCGGTGTATTGGGGAGACAGTTCAAAAAATCAAAAACTTGGAGCAAGACTATAAAAGCAGACGCTGCCTCAATCCAAGCCCATGATATAGAGGCACTGTTTTGTCTACATCCAACAATTCTTAAACTGAAACACTAAAAAGAGATGAGCGATCTAGAAAGAGAATCAAATCCTGTGTAAGTTTTTCCATGTCCATTAATATCATCAACTTATAGTCATTGCATGTATCATTAACTTTTATTTTCCCATGTCATTCATTAGTTTATATATACTGGTTTACGTATACTAAAGTTTATTGGCCATCAATTTCTGAAATGCGGTAAAACGAATATGGCCAGACATGTTCCTGCCCCTAATGTTCACTACCAGCTTTTCAGTCGGAATAATGAAGTTGATTTGAATGGGATCTGGCTTTATATACAATACATGCGCGGCCTTGACAGAACAAACCTTCTAACCTATATACATGACCTACTAACATGGACACATCACTAGCTAATTTGCATAAAGTTGTTGCAGTCTGAATCCACTTTTCTCACTCTAAACTGACTGTTTAAGAAATGCAATTCATCGGTCTATTACTCTGCCGTTTGGCACGGGATTTCTAAATAAATAAGACCATGATTTGGCTCGCAATGATAGCTTTCTGATGGTACCACTCTTGTAGTGAACAGATTGTGAGAAAATGTGTGAAATCGAGGGTAAAGACAATTTTTGGAATTCCAAGTTTCACGTAAGAAATACTGCATTCTGATTGGACGCCTATCTTGCAGTCCCAATCCACTTTTTGGTGTCCAAACTCTATGTCTTAGAAACTGCACTTATCTGTCTTTTTCTCCGTCATTTGTAGATCAATTTCTAAATTAATAGTGCCATTGTAAAGCTGACAATAACAGCTCCCCGCTGGTATCCCTCTTAAAGCGATCTGTTTGTGATTTGTAGGGGAAATTCGAACCTGAAGGTGTTTCTGAGAATTTCAAGATTCAGTTAAGAAATAATGAGAAATCAAGCATTCTGATTTTTTCATCAAAATGGGACCCATATCTAGTTTTTTCCTTCAAAATGGGACCCACATTTGGGATTTTCGTCAAAAAAGTGACCCACTTTAGCAGCACGTCCCAATATAGCCAATATATGGGAGTACCCCCCCCCCCCGGGAGTATATCTAGTATAATTGTGACACAAGCATGAAAATTAAAATCTAACTATCACAGTTCCACGTTTAAATCACTTAGATCAAGTTCCCGTCTCAATTACAGTGTAGGTCTCACATTTATAAAGAATATCAAGTTTTATCATGACTTAGAATGGTATATTGCACTTTTATTCTTGACATGTTTTTGGAGATTGGCATTTATACACATATTATTTAGACTAGAGGATTCATAATGATTTTAATTTTTTAAACACGTTTAAGTTACTTTGTCATTGGCATTGATTAGGTCTATTGATTTTAGTTTTATTTTCTTTAATTCTGCACCTATTTGTCTAAGAGTAGAAGCCAGATTGGCCAGTTGTCAGTCTTTTTGGTAGACCCATTTGTAACTACAAATTGGAGAAATCTACCATAAGGTAAGAAAGCAATTGCGACAGTCAGGCCTATTTTCCGACGGATACCCTATCATTATATAAAATAATTCCTTGAGGATATTTTTCAAGTAGAATATAATGCGATTACGTGATTTGAGTATGACGTGACACTTTTCAGGCATCAATGACGTCATTGATACATAACAATGGCGGCATCCACTGCAGTCCAGATATGGGTATTTTGAACTTGAATTACATAATTCATAATTTATGTTAGTTCAAACACAATATGTCAAATGGGTGAAAAAAAAGTGAAAGATGATGGTTATAAGTAGTCAGCTCGAAATTAGATCATGAAAGTAGTTTTGTCTTCAACTGATGGGATGTAGTAGCTAGTAATGCATTAGGTCAAATGCAGACACTGGAACAGACCATCAATTTCTGTTTTAAACCATTTGCTACTCTCTAAAAACCTTCCTGTCTGACAGTCAAAAAATTAATTTTTAAAAAAAGTTTAAATGCCTCAATTGAATCATTTGGTCTTCTTACTCATATGTACTTGACTTATTTTTTGAAGTCAAATGAATGTCCATTCCATAAGTCATAGTAATAGTGATACTCGCAATGGATCCAAATGCTGTAAGAAACTCAGTCATTTTCTTCAGAAAATCTTCTCTTGCCCTCTGTCTGGATGACGTCAGACTTCATAGAAGTTCAAACTCTTGACAAAATTCATGGAATCTCCTCCCATTTCGGGGAAACCATACTGTTCTAAATGACATCATTGACGTCATTTTCTTAGAATCTCTTCCATGTTGGAATTTGAGACGAATGCGAGGGAGAAATGATTTGCGTGATATGAGAGAATTGGATTTCTGTTCAATTTCCTGTGATGAACTGACAAAAGGTAGGTGGCGCTAGATAAGTCTTCGGCCAAACTTATATACGGAGGGAAAACTTAAGAATAAGGCCAAATGAGAGAATAATTGGATTTTTTGATAGTCGGACACCAAGGTGTTTAGAGTATAGTCTATTAGATAAGAAAAGGTACTGCTTGACCACTCTATATCATCATAGGTATGTTATAAATTGTGTATGTCACTATGATCTTGTATGTTCCCTTGGTTTTCGGAAATCAATGGCCCTGAAAATCTCAAGCATATATGCCACAATAGTGACATAACCTCTAATTATGTCTCATCAAAGGACCACATACTGTATTTTAAACAATCTTGGACAGCTTTATTTTTGACTGTGAGTATTGTTGGACAACACATTATTATTATATTTAATTTCAATCTACATTTGTCCCAAAATTAGAAAAACTGAGATCCTCTTTTTTCTAATTAGGAAATTTTGAATAACTGAGGAGATGCTAATCCATGATCTATTGGTATAATCCAATTGATATTTTTAATATTTTTTTGTGCTTAAGTTGAAAATGTTATTGTAATGTAAAATGAGGAATGTGTGATCCAACAATACTCCCAATTACATGATTTGTTTGCAAAACTATTTTTCTATAATATAATGTTATTTGTTGTAGAAGCCACCAAAGCAGTCTAACCGAAGACGGGCCGACCCCCTCATATCACTCTCATCTATATTTGAGAATATCCTTAATGAAATCCGAGAACTGCCTGATGTAAGTGAAACCAATAAGATATACCAATGCCATAATTTGTGTGATAATAACTTGGAAGAAAAGAGGGACACTGATTTTTACAACTTAGTTATTGCATGTCTCAGATAAATATGAAAAACTTGAAATGAGAGTCTTTCCCTTAAAGTTGGTACAGTTAAAAATTATGTCTCAGTCTAACATTTTTAAACCTAAAATTCCCATACTTAAAGATGTAGCCTAAACTACTGTACATATAGCCTACTTACTATAAACTATAAATGTATGTATCTACCCAAAGTCATGATATCAGTCCCAATGATGCATTTCTTTGATTTCAGACCCAGCCTTTCTTGTTCCCAGTTAACACTAAGCTAGTGCTGGACTACTTGAAGATAGTGAAGAGACCAATGGACCTCCAGGCCATTAGAGAGGTAGAACCTGTTGTTTTGCATATAATTAGCATACAAAACCTTATATGGTTTCAGTACATTTTTGGAAAAAGGAATAGTACAGTATGAAAATTAAAAATTAAATAATGATAATAACAGTAAATACAAATACTACATGGCCATTTTAATGGCGACATATCTCACATAATCTCCAGAATAGTTTAGTGAAGTATATAATGCTTATTCTTTGAGTAAATGATAATACAAATTAAAAGTTTTATATTTTCACATATTTGTAAATGGTTTGTACTTTTTGTCTTTTCACATACTTGTAAATTGTTTGCACATATTGTCTTTTCACACATTTGTAAATGGTTTGCACTAATTGTCTTCACATACTTGTAAATGGTCTCTAGGTATTGTCTTTTCACATACTTGTAAATTGTTTGCACATATTGTCTTTTCACATACATGTAAATGATTTGCAAATATTGTCTTTTCACATGCTTGTGAATGGTTGGCACTTATTGTCTTTTCACATAATCTTAAATGGTTCCACTTGGTGTTTCAGTCTATACGGGACAGGAAGTACCACAACAGGCAGGCATTTTTAGAGGACCTTAACCAAGTGGTTGAGAACAGTAAACTTTACAATGGCCCCACCAGTGTGCTCACCCACACGGCCCAGAAGATGTTGGACCTCTGTTTGCAACGCATTGCGGAGAAAGAGGAAAAGTTAATGCGGTTAGAGAAGGCCATCAACCCACTGTTGGATGATGATGATCAAGTGGCACTCTCATTCATCTTTGAGAGTATTATTCAAACTAAAATGAAAGTTGTTGAAAATGTAAGTTGTTGCCAGTGATTGAATTATAGCTTAGCAAAAAATATGATGATTTTTAATTACTTCAATGATTAAAACTTATAAAATGAAGCCTTATGTGCTATTATGAAAATTATGAATTCTTTCGACTTTGCTTTGGTTTCAGTCATGGCCATTCCACAAACCTGTCAACAAGAAGTTTGTCAAGGACTACTATGAGATTATAAAACACCCTATGGATCTGGACACTCTTCTCAAGGTATGTTATATCTGTAGCGCTGTTTATGAAAGCTTACCCTCAGTATGGATAAAATGTCCTATTGTTGTCTTATTGCTTTGGACTTCTAGGAAGAGTTACAACTGTCATGTTTTATATTGTGAAGTTTTATGATCCCCCAATTAGATGAGATATAAGGTGAGATGAAATATCTCAAATGTCCTCAAATCTGGGCTCTCTTGGATCACCAAATTAAACCCATAATACCATAGCATATCCTACATATCATGGCTCAGAAGAAATGATGTTGTGTTGTATCATGACGAAGGATCATGAGACGTTAGATTATTTTATAATACTAGGTTTAATCTCTGGTTTGGCTCTTAAATATTTCTTTTTCGTGCTGTGTTTTGTGTTTTTGGTTTACATACAGTAATTACCCCAGTGCAGTCCTATTAAAACAAGAATGTTCCCTAGACCTACAAATCCCCAATCATTTTTAACCAAACATGTTGTAAAAACTTAAATAATTTTTGAAATGTAAATATTAGTTTGATGATGTAAAATAGTTAAGAATTGAACTGAAAGGATGATGAATAAATGCATTGTTATTTACAGAATGTGCAGAAACATAAGTACCACACAAGACATGAGTTCATAGAGGCTGCAGAGTTAATAGCTGTCAACTGTGTCAAATACAATGGAAATGACAGTAACTACTCAAGGACAGCTAGACAAGTTGTGGATGCTGGCATTGAAGCCTTACAAGAGGTACCAATGCAAATAATGTCATTTGATTCTACAGATTTTAATGCTGCTTAACACAGAATGAGTATCTTGATCCATCAGGGTACTTCATACCTTGATATGTATATGACTAGTTCTATTCTGGCCACTTAAAATAAAGACAGTGAATTTCAAAATCACTCATAATGTTTGGCATAAATTTTAGAACAACAATACCAGTGTATGACTGAAGGAATACACTGATTTAACAGTATGCAGAATGAGAGAACCCTTTGTTAGTTGTGCACCAGAAATTTCAAGATAAAAAAAAGTATGTTCAAGATAACAAGTAGCATGATGCAAAATAATAGTACAGCTTGATGTTTTGATGTGTTTATAGCAAGATGACTACATTTCTCAGCTTGAGAGAGACATCAAGGCTGTCCAGGAAGCTGCCCTGGATGCAGCAGAGACAGACAGTGTTATCACAGGAACATCATTCAACATGGATGAAAGCAGCATGCAAGGTGGGTCAGCTATTTCTTTGTTCACTGATTACAGTAGTTTGCAACACAGCATCATTTATAAACATTCTTGTGACTGGCATTCAGCATCAGTATTTGTAACTTACATTCACACCGGAATAGCCTGACAACGGTAAAGTCAGACACCGTTGTCACAAATGGCCGACATAATCGTCGCTTCAACTGTTTAATCACTTGGTCCTCATTTCATGGGATTTTATTGTCACTAATTCTGCGCATGTATTAAGCTCTTGTGATAATGTATCATATGAAATCCCATTTTCGATCAAATTGGGTCATGAATCGCCACAATATAGCATCTTCAATATCGTCAATGACAACGGAATCTGAATTTGAGTAATTTAGAAAGGCAACGGCATATGGTAATTACAATGTCTGTTGTTCGGTATCTCATTCGATCGGTTAAATTAAAGACTTTATTTCGATGGTAGAACATTATTAAATGTACAATGAGTATTAAGACACTTTGATTGATTGTTGTTCCAAAGGAATCTAGTCTAGGTGCTCTATTAAACATACAGTTCATGAAAATCTAATTGAAGCGACGGTTATTTCCGCCATTTGTGACAACAGTATCTGACTTTACCGTTGTCAGGCTATTCTGGGGTGAAATTGTTATATTTTTATATTGTAATGGTCTCCAACTTTTTGTGAACAGTGTTTGGCAGTTGGCATTTTTAACAAATGGCAGATGGTGACATTTTGCTTGTTAATACCTTGTTTTATTTGCACTATTTTAAGTTTAAATGGCTACAATGTTATTGTAGTTGCAGATATTTATAATTTAAGCAACTGCAATCTTATTTACAATGTTATTGCATTTTTGCAGATGTTGAGAGTTTGAACAGCTACAATGTGTCCAAGGACAATGTCACTATAGCAGAGGAGGATTCCATGATGAGCAAGAGTTACATGATGGACCAATCACAGTCTCAGGTAACAGAACAGTGCAATCAGAAATACTGCAATGTATTTGGAAAGCACGAGGAAAATCCTTTACTGCTTCAGTGCTTAAATATAAGCTTCATTAGACCTTTCAAATAAACCTTGTAACCTCATGCTTCATCAAAGAAGCTAGGATATAGAACAAACAATACTGATATAGTGAAACAAATCAGATGAAATTGAGCCAGTTGTGGCAATTTAACCTTAGGACTTAATTTTCTACCACTCAGATATAAAAAGCTGGGATAGTTGTTTATCCATATTAACACAACTCAGCAAAAGATGACAGGATTTATTTATTTAAGGTCTTGTTCAATTTAACTGAGAAAGTGAAAAATGACCAACAGAGTAAGATACCAGATTTCAGTACAAGATTATGTATACGTAAATATTGTATGTTGTGCACTTTCCATAAAGTGGATTGTAGTTTGATTTTTCATTTTTTGCAATATACCAAGCACTCATTACATGCATTATGGAAATGTAACCATCTAATTTTGGAATGACTTTCACATAATACATGAACATACATGTCTACTAGGTAGCATCAATGACTTCATAAATTAGTAGAATAATGTTTTTATCACACCCTTGTGTGCTATATTGTGATCAGCCGGGCAGGTTGGTGGGCAGGCTTCCTGATTAATCTCGTCTACAGGTTTCCAGCCAAACTGTTCGAGGGATTCATTTGAAATTTTCAGGGATGTTTCTACATATCATAGTTTAGAACTGATTAGTTTTTGGGCAATCTTGGTAAATGTAAAGGCAGTCAATTTGGATTTTTCGTCCTAAAATGTTGTCTGTCGAGGCTTGTCTACAGGTTTCCAGCCAAACCATTTTAGGGATTCATTTGAAATTTTCAGGGATGTTTCTACGTATGAAAGTTTAGACCTGATAAGTTTTTGGGCATTCTTGGAAATGTAAAGGCAGCCATTTTGGATTTTTCGTCCTAAAATCTTGTCCATCCAGTCTTGTCTACGGTTTCCAGCCATTTTGGATTTTCCATCCTACAATCTTGTCTGTCAAGGCTTGTGGTATGAGGTTCCATATCCATCCGCCAAAAGGTATGACCCCTATATAGTCCATTTAAAAACCTGTGGTATTGTTCTAAATAACGCCATAGTTGGCTTCTAGGGTACCTAGTATGCCACTATTTGGTATCAAAATAAAGAGGAGGAGTTCAACTTTCATTTGAATTACGAAAATAGCGATGTAGGTCAAAAATAGTTCCGACGTGAGCATGTTTACTACGCGTTTGCCCGTCATATCAGAATTGAGGAAGTGGTGGCAAACGCGAGTTACAATAAATGGACGCTGATATCTCAAAAAGTAACCTGACTCCCTATAATTTGATGTAGATCAATCGAACCCCTATATGAACAGGTACATTTTGATATATAACACTATGGGGGGTAAGCGTTTAATAGTTGGTCACGAACGCCATATGTGCAAAGTATTGTTATGAATTTTCGAATTTGGTGTTGGATTACGGTACTCATACCTTGTCTACAGGTTTCCAGCCAAACCGTTTCAGGGATTCATTTGAAATTTTCAGAGATGTTTCTACATATGAAAGTTTAGAACTGATTAGTTTTTTGGCATTTTGGGTAAATGGAAGGCGGCGATTCTGGATTTTTCTTCCCAAAATGTTGTCTGTCAAGGCTTGTCTACGGGTTTACAGCCAAACTGTTTCAGGAATTTATTTGAAATTTTCGAGGATGTTTCTACAGTATAGAACTGGTTAGTTTTTCAGCTTTCTGGGTAAATTCAGGGTTCCATTTGAAATTATCAGGGATGTTTCTACATATGAACGCCTAGAGCTGATAAGTTTTTAGGCATTCTGGGTAAATGTTAAAGGGTGACGCATATCGTTTAGCAAATCGAACGCTCGTTTCTTGTGTTGCTCACCGTTTAGTATAAAAGGCCCGATCCCGGAATAATACTCAAGGGTTCACAGGTTCGAGGTCGTTGTGTCAACACCTCTAACTGTTATATAGCATAAGTATATTATAGATCGTCACACATTTATAAAAGGGTGATTTTTATTTTGACAAATCAATTCCACATTTATGGGTGAAGTTTCAGGATCTTCTATTTGTGTATAATAAGGAAAAATTGGCATCTAAATTTCCCCATAACGTAATAGCACACAGCTTGGCATATGAAATATCCTACAAATGAAACAAAGCAAGACAAACCGGTTTCTAATACAAGAATTTATATTGTCTGTTGTACATGTATTATTTGAACGCAATCACTCTTTGGATAACGTTTTCAAAATCATTATAAACGGATTACTTTATCTCAAAGACAATTTCAATAAACTGGATTTTACAGAACTCCCCTTATTTCTTAAAAATGGACTGATCCAGTTGATTCGCCTGGAGCCGCCATATTGTTTTTATACGGGATGCTAATCGTCACCCTTTAAGGTGGCTACTTTGGATTTTCCGTCCTAAAATCTTGTCTGTTGAGGCTTATCTACAGGTTTCCAGCCAAACCATTTTAGGATTTCATCTGAAATTTTCAGTGATGTTACATGAACGTTTAGAACTGATTAGTTTTTCGGTATTCTGGGTAAATGTAAGATGGCCCTTTTTATGTCCCACCACATAGTGTGGGGCCATATTGTCGGCCTAGGCGCGTCCGTCCGTCTGTCTGTCCGTCTGTCTGTCCATCCGTACGTCCGGCAGTTTTCTCCAAAACCGTTACAGATATCACCTTCAAATTTTCAGGGATAACTTATGAGTGCATAAAGATGTGGATGAAAAAAAATTAACTTACGTACTTGCTGTCGCCCATTTTGAAGTCAAATGCTAAAATCCTTGTCTGCAAACTTTAAGAAAACGGCTTCACAGTTGCTTTAAAAACTTTAAAATCTTGTTCAGCTCACTTCATTCTAGATCTGATTAGGTTTTGGACCTGTTAGCTCAGTCAAGTCAGCCATTTTGAATGTTTTAAGAAAAGTTAGCGCACGATAATACTTTGTATCATATTGAATGGTGTTTTTCATTCAGTTTTCATACTTAAACTATTTAGTAGCTTTATAAATAATTTCAGGTGTACTTTGTTGTAAAAGCCTATTTTATTGTTAACAGTAGTTATATGTGATAATTTTGTAAAAAGAAATCAGCAAAAATTCATAATCACTTTTTTATTGTCGGCCATTTTGGATTTTTCCGTCCTAAAATCTTGTCTGTAAAGTCTTGTCTACGCGTTTTCAGGTGAACCGTTTGGTAAATCAATTTCAAATTTTCAGGGATGATTCTTAGTATGAAAATCTAGATCTGATTAGTTTTTGGGCATTCTGAGTAAATGTCAAGGCAGCCATTTTGGATTTTCCGTCCTAAAATCTTGTCTGTAAACTCTTGTCTACGCATTTTCAGGTGAAACGTTTGATAGATCAATTTCAAATTTTCAGGGATGATTCTTAGTATGAAAATCTAGATCTGATTAGTTTTTGGGCATTCTGAGTAAATGTCAAGGCAGCCATTTTGGATTTTCCGTCCTAAAATCTTGTCTGTAAAGTCTTGTCTACGCATTTTCAGGTGAACCGTTTGGTAGATCAATTTGAAATTTTCAGGGATGATTCTTCGTATGAAAATCTAGATCTGATTAGTTTTTTGGCATTCTGGATAAATGTCAAGGCAGCCATTTTGGATTTTCCGTCTTAAAATCGTGCCCGTAAAGACTTGTCTACATGTTTTCAGGTGAACCGTTTGGTTGATCAATTTCAAATTTTCAGGGATGATTTTTAGTATGAAAATCTAGTTCTGATTAGTTTTTTGGCATTCTGGGTAAATGTCAAGGCAGCCATTTTGGATTTTCTGTCCTAAAATCTTGTCTGTAAAGTCTTGTCTACGCATTTCCAGGTGAACTGTTTGGTAGATCAATTTCAAATTTTCAGGGATGATTCTCAGTATGAAAATCTAGATCTGATTAGTTTTTTGGCATTCTGGATAAATGTAAAGGCAGCCATTTTGGATTTTCCGTCTTAAAATCTTATCTGTAAAGTCTTGTCTACGCGTTTTCAGGTGAACCGTTTGGTGGATCAATTTCAAATTTTCAGGGATGATTCTTAGTATGAAAATCTAAAACAGATTAGTTTTTTGGCATTCTGGATAAATGTCAAGGCAGCCATTTTGGATTTTCTGTCCTCAAATCTTGTCTGTAAAGGCTTGTTTACATGTTTTCTGGTTAACTGTGTGACTGATCAATTTCAAATTTTCAGGGGTGGTTCTTAGTATGACAATCTAGAACTGACTAATTCTTTGGCATTCTGGGTAAATTTTAAGGTGGCCATTTTGGATTTTCCGTCCTCAAATTGTGTCGGTAAAATCTTGTCTACTCATTTTTAGGATAACCATTTGACGGGATCACCAATAGGTGGGGACATTTTGTACACATTTGTGTTCTTGTTTTGATTTTCCATCCCTAAATCTTGTCTGTCGAGTCTTATCTACAGGTTTCCAGCCAAACAGTTTCATGGAAAACTGTAATCTATTCAAGGGTGCGATTCTGTTCACTGTGTGTCTTGTTAATGTATGTGTGTCACGCTGAACATAAACCTGCATGCTCTTTCTGTATTGTTATCTGTTGTGTTTATGTACTGTATATTTACTCCATCTATGTTGTGACAGGGAGACTATGCCGGGCAGCAGGATGATGACTTTGTTGATGTGGAGAACTATGAGGACCAGTCCCAGCAGGTATGTTTGAATGGACTTGCATGAAGTGCTGCATGGGGGGAAGATATTGGCTAAAATTAGCACAGAATAAAGTGTCATCCACAATAACAAGTGTGTACTATAGCCAATGAGAGTGATATAAGTGCATATTATTAGATCGTTAAGAATAGATTCCTTTATACAAAATATCCCTAGTTAGTATAATTTCATCTCAGAGGAGTTTGATAAATGTAAATAATGTGTTTTACTTTGAAACCTAAACTGTAAACTCTGAAAATTATAAAATACAGAAATTAGTAGAAAAAATACAAATGTTTTTAATTTTTAAATGTTTATAATACCTTCAAATACAAATTCATTTCCATAACCTGAAAAACTGACAAATAGTTGTGGATATAGTCCTACATAAAGATACTAGCGGTTACAGTTAGTGATTTGGTTTTCTGTGTAAAAAGTCATTTTTCTTCTTCCCTACCCTATTAGAGGGCCATCTGGCGTTTGGTAAATGAATTGGGTCTCAATATTTATAAGGTAGGTCCTAATTTATCTGAAAACATGCGAAAGTTCAGTGGGAAATCTCATTTTAAGTTGGGGGCAGAGTGATTTTGACCTTGGTGATTTTACCAGAATTTTCTGAGAAATATGACGATAGCATATTTAGGTAAGTGCCTACCTGTCAAATAAGAAAATAAAAAATTGGATATTTTCGTTTTGAAAATCGGGAGAAGTCAGAATTTTTTAAGAAAGATAGGGATTTTTTAAGAAAAATCAGGAGAAAATTGGTTTTTCTGTAAAAAACGGGATTGTTTAGGATAATCGGGAGTTTATAATGAAAATTGGGAGGAAATTGGGGTTTACAAAAATAATCGGGAGAAAATCGGGATTGATCAGGATCAACATATGTATTGTATATTTTGTTTTATCTCAAAACCTGTTTTATACTTTCATTTTTTTGCGAGGGCATCTCATTAACAAATCTGGAGAAAGAAAATAGGGAGGGTACCATTTAAAAATCGGGAGTTTTTTTGAAAAATCGGGATGTCTCGTTAACAAATCAGGAGTTTAATAGATCAATTGCAGGCTTGTAGCTGGTATTTGAATAGATGGTGGTATTTTTTTTTGTCATGCTAAATAGCATTTTCTCATATGACTATCAAAGATAAAGCCACCTTTACCCCACGTAAGATATGATGATCAGTTATCACACATTTCAGCGTGTGATACGGGATGACGATTTTATCATACACTATGAAAATTCCAGTAATTTGATTGAGCAATAGGTACGCGGCTACTTCTCATTACATGAAAAACAGCCAATAACAATCAGTAACAAACAATCAAAAATATTACACTATTACGTCATGAACCCATTTTTTCCTCATGTACTGTTTAATTAAGTAGTAATGTCATCAACAGTATTGTTACCGACTAGACTGTTGTTCTTCAAGTTAATTAAACAAACAAATGTTACTTTTAAGTTTTCAAACTTTTTTATTGATCTATTAAAGGTTCCCATAACAGTAAATATAATAACAGCTTTCCAAGAGCAGTGTACATGTACATTCTGCTAAAGCTCTTACTAAATTGAATCTATTTTACAATGTTGAAAATATACAAGCCGCTTGTTGGCTACAAGTATCCAAGGCAAAAATATGAAACTCATGCAAGATATTGCCACCTTTCATCCTAAAAAGTCACACATGCAAGATGAGATTCACTTGTGACATCACTGGTTCACAAACATCAACAACACAGATACCAAAACTAAGCTGTGACATCATAACTATGGAACATTGTTGTCATGCATATCCATGTATTTTCTTCAATATTGTTATAACATCAAAATTCAGTCAAAGTGATGTCATATTTGAAATCTGCATGCAAAAGTACATCTAGAAATATGGTTTCAAAAATTGTTTATTAACTTTGAAAATTTAATTGTTTTGGAAAATGAGACAAAATCACAAAAAGTGGAATATCTTCTTTTATTATATCACTATCTAGCTAGCGACAGTATGATTGGTCAAAACCGGGTCACATGTCGTGGGATATCTGGCGATATTCAATGGCAATGCTAATCAGATAAGACAACCGTGAGATATCTAGCGATATCCCACGCTCCCAGTAGATTCGTAAAAACATCTGAAGACTTAATGACTTAATAATATTAGGGATGTTTAGCTAGACAGTGATATAATAAAACAAATATTTCACTCTATTTTCGGTGAATACCTGTAGCACTTTCACAAGGTGATGTTCCACTTGCCCTTCGGGCTTCGTGGAATATCACTTGTGAAAGATGTACAGGTATTCACCTCAATAGAGTAAAATATTTGTTCAGTATTGGACAGATAACATTTTCTTTTACTGGACATATTTTAATTTGCATAACTATTAGATACATAAGGGCTATATGAGAATTGAACCACTAAACAGATGGTATTTAAGTTAAAGGGAACTTTCTGCTATACCTGCCATGCTATCTTGCATCTGTATTATTAATCTGTAGCTATTTTTCAATCATTTTTGTCATGAAAAGGTGAAAATATGGCATAATACAGAGTCATGAGAAAAACTTTCTTGTACTCATGCTTAGATAATGTTTCTTTTTCTCCTCAAGAATTATCAAAGCTCATGAAGAACGATCAAGAACCTCTATATATAGTATGCAACAAAAACAGACCAAAATCAAAGCTCAAAAGTCTATTAGACACACAACCTTTGAAATGGAGACACTTATATCTACATTTGTTTGTTTGGCCATACATTCATCATTAAGACTCTTATGTTATTAACTTGTAGGTTGGTAATGAGAATGAAGACAGTACACTGGCTCAAGATCTACAGATGACACCTGATCATAGTGACAATGAAGGTATATATGAAATAGTATGACCAATGATTAGTATACAGTAGAGGTATTGAAATAAAGAGAAAATGTCAACATAAGAAAAATACCCTAATACTTGAATGAAAAAAGGACTATTTTAACAAATGCATGTCTATGAACCTAATACATCTTTTCAGAATAAAGGTTAGTTTCGAGATCTCAAAAACTCTTCAACAACCTTTTTATGAGTTCAAGATTTAAAGAGGCACTATGCCATAGGATAGCACAATCAAGGCCCTCTGGACATTTTTGCATATTGAGTTTCACCACATATATACATCTACTTACCAAAGAAGAAGTCCCAAATCCCCCTCTTTCGGTGTTAATTTTGCGATTGTGCTGGCCGATCTAATTATTTACAAAGAAATTAATTCAATCTGAAGTTTGAATATACTGGGAAAGTCCTCCTGTTAGCTGATTGGTTGTTGAATTTGTTTATCATAAACCTGATTGGCTGCCTGGTTCAAGGTATTTGTTGGCGCTTGTGTAACTCAATGGGGAATTCCCCTTGCTAGCTGAGTAATCGATTGTGTTTAATTCTGGTTGGTTCTGTTGATTATTTCAATATTTCGGCAATAATACGAGTATACCCAAAAGTTATTATCCCATCGAACGAAGTTCGGAGGGATATAGGGAACGTCTCCGTCCGTCCGTCCGTCCGTCCGTACGTACGTACGTACGTACGTCAGTCCGTCCGTCCGTCCGTCCATCCGTCCGTACGTCCGTCCGTCCATCCGTCCGTACGTCTGTCCGTCCGTCCGTCCGGGCAATAACTCAAATACCGTTGGCCCGATTTTGTTCATATTTTGTACACATATACCCTATGGAGGTAGAAGTTCTGCTCGAAAGCCAATTTTCAAAATGGCCACTCATTTCAAAATGGCGGCCATTTTAGTGCCGATTTTACAGTAATTTAGGTGCAATATGTAAAACTGTAATAGCAATATGTTTTAAATGTAAAAAAATTATAAAGGACATTAATAAAGTTACAAATGTAGATATTAAAAAAGCACATGGCAGCCATCTTGAAAAATGGCGGCCTTTACTCGTTATTTTACGATTTTTGCTGTAACTCGAAAAGTAGTGGAGCGATTTTGTTCATATTTGGTATGTGAATACTATAAACATTGCACACTGTCTAAAGACACGTTTGGTAGAAGGCGGCCATTTTGAAAAATGGCCGCCATTTTAACGTTTTTTACTTTAACTCGAAAAGTAGTAGAGCGATTTTGTTCATATTTGGTATGTGAATACTATAAGCATGGCACACTGTCCTATGACACTTTTGGTAGAAGGTGGCCATTTTGAAAAAAAATTTGAAAAATGGCCGCCATTTTAACATATTTTACTATAACTCGAAAAGTAGTGACGCGATTTTGTTCATATTTGGTATGTGAATACTATAAGCATGGCACACTGTCTAAAGACACTTTTGGTCGAAGGTGGCCATTTTGAAAAATGGCCGCCATTTTAATGTATTTTACTATAACTCGAAAAGTAGTGGAGTGATTTTGTTTATATTTGGTATGTGAATACTAAAAGCATGGCACACTGTCTAATGACACTTTTGGTAGAAGGTGGCCATTTTTTAAAATGGCCCCATTTTAACGTAATTTACTATATCTTGAAAAGTAGTGGAGCGATTTTGTTCATATTTGATTTGTGAATACTCATGAGCCTTGCACACTGTCTCATGACACTTCGGATAGTAGGCGGCCATATTAAAAATGGGTTTCATTTTACATTTTTTACTACAACTTGAAAAGTAGTGGAGCGATTTCGTTCATATTTGATATGTGAATACTCTAAGCATGGCACATTGTCTAATAAAACTTTGGGGAGTAGTCGACCATTTTGAAAAATGGCCACCATTTTTATGTGTGTTATTTTACAAGTACATGTCTGCGATTTTTCAAAAATTTTATAGGTGGCTTCTTAAAAGCATATTATTTCTTCTGATGACAACTTGGCTAGTGAGCAACCATTTTGAAAATGGTGGCCTTTCTGGTGTGTTGTTTTATGATATTTGCTATATATTTCGTTTGTAAAAATGCCAGCCATTTCCGTTGGATGGGATTCGCTACGCTTTGGCGTTGCCGTTGTTCTGGTTCTCAAGATATATCCATGGTATGTGAGATATTATATGAGCAATAACAATAGGACATCATTGTTTGTCTGGGGGAGAAACCTAATTCATCTTTAACTGAATTGTCAATAAGGGAGTTGCTGTATAGCTGTATTAAGCTGAACAAGTAGCACTTGTTTTTATTTGTTTTGATTGTGCCAGACTGCCATAGGCTTCAGTGTTAAAAACTCGCAAAAGGCACTTTATCAATCTAATACTCGAATGGCGTACAATGGGATGACCTTGTTAATCTACATATTGTAATTAATCATGAAAATTCTGGTAGTTGAACAAATAAACATAACTCTAAAACTGGAAAATGTTTCACCGAATTCAATTATGCTATTAAAAAGATGGAAAGTAAGTCATTAGAGGCTCACTGTGAAACACATTAAATGTGGGGCTCATAATTTTCGCGAAACATTACATTTGTGACTTTGCAGTACAAGGTAATTGAGTTCAACTTAGTCAATATGAGAGCAAATGTTCATTCAGAATTACGGACTAATGTGAATATGGTAATGGAAAATATGCGCCATATTGGGTATTTTTAGCTCACATAGGTGAGCTATTGCTATCGCCCACTTGTCTGTCTGTCCATACATCTGTCTGTCTGTCTGTCTGTCTGTCTGTCTGTCTGTCTGTCTGTCTGTCTGTCTGTCTGTCTGTCTGTCTGTCTGTCTGTCTGTCTGTCTGTCTGTCTGTCTGTCTGTCTGTCTGTCTGTCTGTCTGTCTGTCTGTCTGTCTGTCTGTCTGTCTGTCTGTCTGTCTGTCTGTCTGTCTGTCTGTCTGTCTGTCTGTCTGTCTGTCTGTCTGTCCATCCGTCTGTTTGTAAACACATTGGCAGCTTATTTGAAATCCTCCACGACAATTGGAATGGTTTCACTTTTAAAATATGTCTACATTAGATCGTCAATTGTCCCATGAATGGCGTCTCAAAAGCTTGCCTTGTTTCAAAATGATGGCCATTTTAATGCGTAAAAATCAGCTCTTTTTAGTTATAACTCCACTAGTTTTTCACCAGTTTGCTTGAAATTGTACAGGTACCTAATTTATCTGTTATCAATAATGCCTACAAGTTTCGGCAAATCAAGTTGCAAACATTCGAAATGGCCGCCACTTTTATTGCGGAAAAATCAAGTTTTCAGCTTGTCTTTGGTCATAACTCGATAAGAATTCCATCAATTTGCTTGAAATTATACAGGTACTTTTATTTGTAGATTTAACTAGCAAAACATCATACCTTATAAAGAAAACAGGTCTGAAATTAGAAACTTTCTTGAACTGCAACTTTGACAAACAATCAATAAATGGTATAAACATACTAACACATTTTTACAAGGGCATATTTTGCTCATTCAACACATGTAAAACGTATATAAGAAATGACAAAATTAAAAGTGATGATATTTTCAGAGAAGTTTTATGGTTTAACAGTTTAAAATAGAGGAAAAGTTTTATTCTTTAAAAACTGGATCCAGTCTGGTTTTGTTTATGTAAAATACTTTTTTAATCCAAATAGTTCTTTTAAAAGCAGTCAGGTACAGTTTGCACTCATATCAGGTTTTACTTGGAAAAAGGAACTGGATGATAGAATTATATACAATCAAGAAAACTATTATGAGTGTCCGTTTAAATTAAAACTAATCTACCCTTCATCAATGTAAAGGATAAAATAGAATTTTTGATTGAAAATCAGTTTATTAAACTTGAAGATAAAAAGGCCATTTTTTTTACAACATTATGAGAAATTTCAAATTTGTGAGAAACATTCATGAAACATAAAGCTAGTATTTGTCCTTGCACTACCCGAAAATATATGACACATACTATGGGAGCATTGGTGTATGTCTGCCTAGGGGGGGGGGGGGGGGGGGGCATACTTTCAGGACACCCTGTATGTAGGGGAAACTGCCAGAAAACTTCAAGTTAGAATCAAAGAACACAAGACAGATGTTGAAAAGAACACAAATAACAGTCCACATCCCAATCCAAATGGTAGGGCTCAGCTATCACTACACATGTGTGCACAAGTAATTGTACTATAGATTGGGACAATATACTACATAGTAACAGTACTAGATATGGTTAACAACAGACAGGATAGATGGATCAAAGAAGCAGTCTTTATCAAACTAACTGACAACATGAATAGGGACCAAGAAAATTTCCAGTTGGATAACTGTTGGGAGCCCCTGCTAAGGAGAAACCAGAAGTTGAATTAAAGTTCTGATGATGGCAACCGGAGGTGGCCGAAACGTCAAAAAGTGTACGTTTTTCCAGTAGTGCAAGGACAAATACTAGCTTTATGCATTAAACACATTGGAGTACTTGTTTTACTATTGCAGAACAGCATCAATGGGAAAGTATTTATAATCAGAAATTAATTAACATGATATAATTACTTCTCAGAATTCAATTTCAAAATATTGAACAACCTACTGTTGTGTGGATTTCTAGTATCTAAATGGAATAATAAAGTATTAAGAAATTGTCAAATATGTCATGAATCACACAATATGAGCATAACAATTGGCATAACAATTTATAATACTTATAGTCTGGCAGAAACTTCAAAGCTAATCGTTTTCTTCGGATTACAATGTTTTTTTAACTTAACAGCATGAATATAGGGTTGGGACCTCAAAACCATTGGATGCCGGAGCGACACCCTTGGGCAACTCTCTACAGAGCATTTCTTATACCCCCCTGATAAAATATACAGGGGGTACTATAAGACACCCTCATATCTCAGACACTAATAAATATATTAACTTGAAATTTTCAGGAATTGGTTTTAGTATTATGCTTGACACATGTGACAAAAATCAAGAAAAAATCTTAATCTGTTGCTATAGCA